TATTGTGGCCATTTGACATTTGACGGTCTGTGTTCTGTCAAGTTTCATTATCAGGTCATGACAACAAATGATATTTTAAAATTTAACAAGTAGTTTGTTTGCAATATCTTATTTAATAATGAGCTAATACTTTAAATTTTTATCAAATATATTAAAATAATATATTATTTGGAACATAAGTAGATTATCAATAGAAAACACACTTGTTGTGTGTCTCAGTATAGCTCTGGAAAAAACAAAATGGACCATTCTCTTATATTTCATCTTCTTCCTAAAGTTGGTAAATTTACGGTATTTTTTTAATAATTTTGTTGTTTTTCAAAATTAGCTTCATCATATATTCTATTTTTTGTTGTCATAACCTGAGATAAAATTTTTCTTCTGATTTTCTTTTTACAAAAGATGTATGTATCAACATCGAAACTAGTTTTTTCGATTTTTTAAGAATATCTCAAAAGGATCCACAGAAGCACTTTATGTAATTTGTTCTTTATGGGATTTACCGCAGAGATATTTTTTACGAAAATGGTCCTCTATGTTTCTTCAATACCACTCTCTAAATTACAACTGGAATCTTATATTCTCTCCATCCTTCAATAAAAAATGGAGAGTATAATTGATTAAATCGGAAATACATTTTGAAAATATGACATTATGTGATATTTTTTTTTTAGTCAAAATTACGAGGATATATCAGTATATAACGAGACTGGTGCTATAACTTCTTTCAGAGGTAACATTTTATAACCCAAAAAATGAGACATGAAAGCCTTATATTTAATGTACTACCCCGCAAGTAGGCTTTGATTTAACTTTTTACATTTGTTACAAATTAATTATTGAATTGTCAGTGTTTTGCGTACCCATCGAAAAATGAAAGTGGAGCAAAGATACGCGATAAAATTTTGTGTTCGATTGGGTAAAACACCAACTGAAACTTTTGAAATGATTAAAGGTGCATATCTAGATAATAGTTTATCACGATGTAGAGTGTTTGAGTGGCATAAAAAGTTTAAAGACGGTTGTGAATCAGTTGAAGATGAACCTCGTCCCGGTCGACCACAAACTGCGAGAAATGACACAAAAATTGCAGAAATTAACGACTTGATACAAAATGATCGCCCGATTTGGCATAAAACGAATTTCTGCCAATGTTAATTTGTCTTACGGTACCACTCAAAAAATTATTCATGAAGATTTAGAGTACCGGAAGATCGCGGCAAGATGGATTCCAAAAGTGAATACGATGAACAAAAAGCGAATCGAGTGACAATTTGTCAGCAGTTTAAAAGGCAATTGCAACGTAACCCATAGTTTTTAAATAATGTGGTTACATGTGACGAAAGTTAGTTTTATCAGTACGATCCTGAATTGAAGTCTCAAAGTATGCAATAGAAGCATAAAGGCAGCCCAAGACCGCAGAAGGCCAAAACTGCTAAAAGCGCTGGTAAAGTGATGCACCTGATTTTTTTGACAAATTTGGCATTATTTACGATCACATTGTACCTAGAGGACATACACTAACAGGGGAGTACTATTCTAATGTACTTCGAGGACCCTTAAAGGCAAAATGAAAGAAAAAAAGGCCGCTTTATCAGGACTTTGGCTGGACGCTGCATCACGACAATGCTCCGGCTCATAGATCAATGATTTGTCAACGAACAATTGAAGAATTAGGGGTTGAAATTATGGTTCATCCCCCCTACTCTCCTGACCTTGCTCCATGTGACTTCCATTTGTTTCCTGAAGTCAAAAAAGAATTGAGAGGTAGAAGATTTGAGTCGGATTTAGAGCTCAACAACGCTGTGATGGGTATACTAAACAGACTATCAAAAAATGGTTTCTCAGAAGTTTATGATAAGTGGATAAAGCGATGGAATAAGTGTATTCAACAGAATGGAGAGTACTTCGAAGGATAGTTGTTGAATTTTTTAAATAAATGTTTCGTTGTTATACTATAGCACCTGTCTCGTTATGTTCTGATACATCCTCGTATTGTCTTAAATGCAATAAACTTTTTTGGTTTTATTTCGGTTTTAAAAAATTAAAAAATTTAAAACTATACAGACATTAACCATATGTGGCCCATTTTAGCATTTTTACACATGTACGTAGTTCTGTATGTAGGTTTTTAGTGCGTCTGACAAATAATAAAAATAGATACAATAATAAAAACGTTTATTTAAAACTTTGATACATTTACAAATGTATTCATATAAAAAGGTAATAAAATTAAACAAAACACATAACAGTCTAAATATTGAACACAGGGATGACTTAAAATATTATTCCATGTTTTCACTACAATATTTTGGTTAGTTTTTAAAATATTTAAAATAGTTTTTATATAATAATTTTTTAAAGGAGTGTAAGTATGTACACACTGGGTAGTAAAAGAAAATGATAGATATTGTATTTTAGGTGTATAGGAGAACTTGTCTTAAAACAATCCCACTTTATTTAGAGTAAGTCAAACAACAATTGACCCTGACAATACTAATGTTTTAATTTTTATTAATTTAATTTTATAATTTGAAATCTCCAAATTATTTTCATAATTTCACCTTTTTAATAAGTAATTCATTTATTACCTTACGATTAGTTAATATTTTAATTTATGTCTTTTTTGACGTTTTTATTAGTTATTACTCTTCCCGACAACTCAGTTGTCTTGTCATCCGGTACCAACTGCGTTTTCACTGCCCATTTTCATGATCAAAAATTCGAAATATTAACATTTTTAGTTAGCATGACAGCTGACTTCATTGTCACTGTCAGTCACCTGTCATTTGTCATCGAATTGATTAAAAAATTATTTTGATCATTATATATCTACGTTGTCGAGGATGTTACAACTATTCCTACGCGATCACCGTTGCAGGCCTCCTATAGTCATTTCACCTTCTCCTCCGGTGAGGAAAGAGAGTTTTAATTTATTTCCTTTTACATGGCGTCCACCACTCACAATGGTGATGAACCAATGGGCGTTTGATGAAGGTTTTCATGAAGTTTTTTTAGGACTTGCCTCAAATCACAAAGAAGAACAAATCTATTGTCAACGGGCGTTCTAATCATAGATTATTTTTTAATTATGCCACTAATCCTCCAGATATGGTAGTGGGTCTTGATGTTGCGGCTCAACACACTTGTTGGCCAGAGTCCCTAACTTGCTGTTAATGATCTTCGATTTCCTTTTTTAACAAGTTTTTTTGCAGTTTTTGACGAGTAAATGTAATTTTTAATTTACCCAAATTTTATACTCATCTGGAATCTTCTTATCGGTAAACAAGTATTGTGCGACTAAGCTAGGTAACAGCCAGGTTTAAATTCAGTAATTAATACATGATATTTTAAAAGAATAAACTATTGATTTATATTCGTTGGAGATGGTTGTTAATTTGCTTCAAGCGTTTAGAGAATACCTGAAACTGAAAATACGAATTTGTGTTCTTATGTGTTGGCTGAATACATTTTTAAAATAAGGTTATGTTCAAAAAAGAATAACGGAAAAGGGGCCGGCCACATACTTTGATTTTCTTTTACTATACGGAGAATGGTCGCACTGCGCAGCTTTCTGAGTGCCTTTTAAAAGGAGATAGAAAACTCCGCCATTTTGAACCCTTATTACGTGTTGCCTACATCTTGGCGCAATATTTTTAATAGGTGCGTTTTAATCATCCGCTTCTGCTTCGGAATTGTCGGTTTTCTTGTTTTAATCTGACAGGTTAAAACGACTAAACCGACAATTCCGGAAGCAGAAGCGGATGATTAAAACTCACCTGATATTTTGCTTGCTGCTGTCAGTGTCAGTAAATATTCACAGTTTATTGCTAAAGAATCAGTTAGCTCACTCGGACCAGTTGAAAGTTCTAAAATAACATCCACTCCAGGGATACAAATTCAGGATACGCAGAAGACTGCTGTTTTATTAAAGGCGGTTGTCATATATTGTATTATCCGAGTTGCGCAGTGTATAAACTGGAACATTGATATCAAAAGTGCCGACGCAGAGTGAGCGATCTGATTCTTTAGCTATAAACTGTGGCATAGGAATCAAAATGGCCGCGCCCTATGTTGGGCGTGTTGGACCTCTCTCTTGCACCGTATAGTAATCAAAGTATGTGGGGCCGGCGGATTTAAACAAAAGGGGGACAGGATTTAATTTTTGGCGTGGTTGAAAAGGTTGTCGAATTGTATGGTGGTGATTCCAAGTAAAAGAGTTTGTTTCTTTTATTTACCGTGGTTGTGCGGAATTTGCACTCTTATATATTGCATTCGGTTCCTAAGATAAAGAAGGAACGCGTAGATAGAGCCTTGTTTCAGGGAAAAAACTTGGCCGATAGCTTCTCCACATTACTGCAAGAACGCCGTACTGTAGCAGTGAGATTTTCCTTAGTTTGAGGATGAAATACCCCTACAAGTGGTATCCCCGCTGGACTCCTGTGAGAACTAAGTTAACCAGTACTCCAAAGAAAAGGTGTGAAGCATGAGACGACAGACAATTTCCTGTTAGACGAAGATTACTCTGTCATTAAATTTACGCATTTCTCCACGGATTGAGTATAACAAGGGAACTTCGGAAAATCAAAGCATGGAATTTGGTTTCGTACAAGGTCCCTAAGATTATTATCAGTAGAATCCCTTAAACCAGGAGGCGGTGTTATATTGCACTCATTCCAGTAAATTAACTTAAAGTAGTATGTAGCACTAAAATTAATTTTTGGTACAACAAAGTGTCTTATTTCAATGGTTTCTGGACTGGTTTCTCTAGCTTTTAAGATTCTTCATAGAGATAGTTTCCGAACCCATTCACGAATTACGTGGCCAATATAGATAGATCAGGTTCCTCAATAAGCGATATGTATTCTTCGACAACATATTGTCGAATTATTTAAATCATTTAATTCCTGTATCATCTTCAAAGATAAATATGCAACAGTTTTTTTGTTTAATCTTCTCTTGCAGTAAAGTTTTTTCCTTTCTTTTATCAAAATACAGACCTCTTATTATTTTGTTATCACTTTCAAACTCCTTCCTTGCGATTTTTATAGATTTCTTTCGCTCTTTTCTTACTTTATTTTTGTGAAAATTTTCGACGAATCTTCTGTGGTAATTTAATACTACACTAGCAATTGCAGCAGCTGATGGATCAGATATACCATATTTATCGCATATAAGACCTATCGTAGGTAACTTTGTTCTTATTTGAGTGGTTTTTGAGGTAGAGGGTAAGTTTGGATTGATAAAGTCGTCATCTGAAAAGAATTGATATTTTGAGGGGGCAGACTCTGACCCTGACAATAACAGAGGAACAGCTGGGTCTTAGTAAATTGCAAGTTTCTGATTCATATTTTTTTAGTCTTTCGAATTCTCTGGATTGCCTTTGTTTATTTAATAATATTTTCTTTGTTTCTTCGCTATCTACATTTCCTATGCTAATTTTTTTGACCGATCTTTAATCAGCAAGAAAATTTTGTTCCTTAGCGGGTACTTTTCGGGCTTTAATTAATGTAACAGATTGTAACTTTTCGATTAAATAATTTGAAAAATCTGTAGCCGTTCAAAAAAATGGCTAACTATAATTTTGATAGAAAATCATAAAACACCACATATCTCAGAAAAGAGTAATACTAAATGCTCTAAGTATGATGGTGTTTTGAGTTCTACCTCCCATTAAACTATGTTTGTCGATTTAAATCTGGGACAACCTTAAAATTAATTTTTTATATTATCATACTTATCCACAGCACAATTTTTGGACAACCTAGGCAATTTAAAACTAAAAATTAAAAACTATCCAAATAATTATTATTGTAACTATAAAAATGCATACAATTCCAAAAAACCAGTTATAATGTAAGTAAATGCATTTTAAAAACACCCTCTATAATCTCTGTAATTAATAATTTTTACAATTGTTATATTTTTTATGTATCTCTTATTTATTTTTTTAATTCCTTGCAATAAGGTAGTTAATTAACCAATACCAAATAGTCTAGAAAATATTGCACATTGGAATCTTATAAATGAAATTCGACAAAAGTTTATTCCATAAACAGGATCGAAGGTAAACGTAAATTTATGAAGGCAATATTCGTTCGGGTAAAAGGCACTTCATTGATTGACTCGGAGAAGTTGTTCGATATAATACGAATGGGGACCTTCCTAAAATAAGATAAATGATGTTCAATCAAAGCACGGTCGTTGATATATTTACTTCGTAAAGAGAAAGAAATATAGTTTCTGTTAACAGAAATCCTACCATTATATATTATACAACAGCAACAAAACATGCTACACACCAAGTAAAGAGATAAATAGACTGATTTTTTCTGACAGAATTGAGACACAGGTTCTTCTGTGATTGAGATTTCAATAATTTAGCAACATGTAACAGGTTTTAATTTAAACACACGAGGTTTGTTCAATCTAAATCATAGTTTATGCAAAACAAGTTGGATGCACGTCACCGGAAATATACAACGTCACAAATAGACAGTGTTGCCTAATTTTTATAAGGTCTACAAAATCTAAGAATTTTCTAAAATTGTCAAGAAAGATTTCTAGAGATGAAGTATATTTAATAGTTATTTATGGTACTAGTGTGTTATATTGAAAATAAGTCACGCGAGAAAGATTTATACCACGAGGCTGTCAGGCCAAGCGGCGTGGATCTGCGCTTTAAAGTTTCTGAAGGATGATCAAAAAGCTGCATGAGTTCGTATTTCTCAAATGCTTCAACTCATTTTGAAGAAAAAAGGGACGCTTTTTGCATACAAATCTAACTTGTGACGTAGCATGGGTGCATTATTACACCCTCGAATTAAAGAATACAAGTATCGAGTGTAAAACGAAAGGAGGAGGAAATTCCTTGAAAACCAAAACTCGATTGTTTGAGGGGAAAGTGTTGGTTACGGCTATTTGGAGGAAATTCCTTATAGTGGATTTTAACACGGAGTTTGGACTATCAATGTAACCTATTACTGTGGTCTCTTGGATCCAGTTAGGTTTCGATATCGGCTCAAATGACCTGAGATGTGCTGTACGACAACGTCAGACCTCATACAGTTCTTTTAACGCAGCAGAAACTGTTGAAAATGCATTGCAAAACACGTTTTAACCACTTTACAGCCAAGACTTATCGCCATGGTTGAACTCCTTAAAAAAATACTTGGAGGCAAGCGATTCGAGACCGAGGATCAAATGAAAACATTTATGTACAACTGGTTAGATTCCCGTCTAAATTCTTTCTACATTGAAACTCTACTGATTCAGATAAAAATAAATTACTCACCAACTATGTAAGTCATTCCATCTATAAATTCGTCAGAGTCATTTACATGAAAAATTAATAAAATGGAACCCCTTTCATCATAATCAGCAGTATTTTTGTTTTTAATATCTGAACATATTTCCATTATTACAAAATTTGTTTAAACTATTGTCAACAATTTTCTTTTTGGGATCTTCTGATGCCTTGATATATTATTCAATGTTTGGGATTGCTGTTCCGATTCAGTAATTTTCTACTCTCGTTGGCTGATTGAATAATTCACCCTCGCGAGTTTAAAACTGAATGTCGTTAACCATAGTGTCAACGCCAGTAAAGCCGCAAGCATAAATCAGCTGAAAATAAAGGGATATTTATAATTATTGTGGTAAAATTTTCACAAATAAAAAATGTAACGCCCTGTTTAATAATAAATACATGAGGTTTTTAGAGTATTAAATTACCTACCGGGATCTGAAATTAAGATCGCAGCGCCGTTTGTGTTTGACATTTGAACTATTTGTAGTGATTTGTTTACATTTGCGCTTGTAAATATATTATTTGGTACATTTTGTTTTATGTTATAATAATAATAATAATATTTATATGCTGATTAAATTATACTATTCAGCCAAACTTTACCAGTACTTTATTAATATGAAATGCCAAAGAAACAATGTCTTCTCTGGCCAATGTCAAATAAGAATATTCTCATTTGCATAATACTTTTTACATTTTTAAAGAAGGAAATTCTGAATCCATTAAAATTATTAAATTATCTGTTTAATATTTTTGTGATCTAGTGTTTTAAAAAATTTAATCCGTGTATTCTAGTGAATTTTACGGGAAAATATTTATGTAGTTAATAGAAAGAATGAAAATAAAAAATTATACCTTTTACATTGATTTTTTTAAAAACAATAAAATTTGCTACGCCCATGTGTATTTCAAACTCTTGATCTTGCTAAAAATTCACATCCTGATGCTAGTCCAAGCTCCGACCGTAATTCTATCTATCTCACTAGATGATTCTTTTCAAATGGGCCCAATTCATCCAAATTGTACCCCAAAATATCAATAGGATGACCGACTTTGAGAGCAAGAATTTTAGATAATTTTAAACAATTTTAAACACAAAATTCTAGGCAATATTTCATTCAAGATCCGTTTATTTTGAAGAAATTTTAATAAATTTCCCTGACAGGATTATTTGTTTTTCGTAATGTATAATATCTACGTACCCAGAAAACCTTTTCCTCATTCGACCTTTTTGTTTCAATCAAAAAAAAATTTTTTTTAAACGTTTTATTAAGTTCTCATTGATTTTGACTTGATTTTTAGTTTTTTTAGTATTTTTTTAAACATTTCTAACTGTTGGTTTCGATCTGATCTTCTATTTACTAAAATCCTACTTTATTTCTATCTTAAAAAGTACCAAAAGTCTATTCTAAAATCATATCTACATTTTCATTTTTTATTTAAACTTATTAATAAATATAGTATTAAATTCTTTAATTATTAGTTATAAGGGGCATTGGTGAAGTTGTAATGGGCAATTAAAAGGAGTCTAATATAATAATTTTATTTATGACAACGTCAAAATTAGTCATCCATTTTCCATCAACCTAATAATAACATCAAAACCACAACAACACACATTTGTTCATTTATATTTATTATATTTTTTCTAAATTATTCTCGAAATAAGTAGTGTTAAATGACTTATCGAGCATAATAATTTATTCTGTTTTATTATATTATTTTTATTAACATGTGTTTATATTTTTGAGAATAAATTATATTATTATTATAATGCTAATGAAAATGAATAAAGTGATGTTAAGTTATATATTATGTTATTACTGTTTGTTTATTAAATTAATATTTTCTAAATCCAACATTACATTCCCATATTCATTCCCTCTTATACATAATTTATAATTTATTCCGGCTTTGATTATCTTAATACAATCCAATAGCATACTGTTGTTAACTGATTTAGTGGATGCCTCCCTTAGGAGTGTATCGGGATTAATAATTAGTGTAGGGTTAGGTGTTAACAAATTGCTTCTCTAGATATCCTTATATACATATGTATAGTTCATTAATGTCGTATGCAGAGGTGCGGATGTCTACTTGTATGACATCTGGTTTCTCTAATCACTGAATTCTGTTTCTAAAAGCTTATTCGTGCTCTATTTATGGGGTATTTGAACCATGAACGATATTTTATTATGTAGAAGGAATTTTAGAGAGATATTAATATGTAGATAATAAGAGTAGTAAGAAGCTAATTAATTACATGCGAGTGGAAAAGTTGCGTACGAGCTACGTTCGCTCCGAGTCCAGTAATTTAATATACTTTACCTACAACCACAATTATACATTCGTACTAAAGAGAGAACTTTCATAACCTTTAACAGTTATCAAATACATTTAATCTTAAAATCATTAATTAATAACATAATAACTAAAAGTAAAATTTTGTCAATTTTGAATATTTATTGGTTCGTTAGCTTTTTTAATTGTTCTAAAAGAAGTAGATGGTACTAAAAGAGGTGATGTAAATGTAGAGGGATTTGACACTATTTATTTGCTGTTATTTATAATTTCAAGGAATATTTTATATTATTTTCAGTTATTTCTAGTGTTTTAGGTAGAAAATCTGTTTGTTTTTTTTTTTAATTAACTGTATAATTTTGTGAGCGGTTAAAGATTTATTATATAGTGAATCATCAACATATTCTTCAGCCGTCGTTGAAGATTTCCAGCCTGCATATTTTTTAATGCAAATAAATGACTCCATCAATTCAAATTGTAGAATAAGTTCATCTTAAACAAAGGCCAGTGTATAAATTGCGACTTCGAAACTTTAAATATTGTTTAGGTAGATTTCCAATTTTATTTCTACCGACCATTTATTTGCACTTTTTGGGGCATTTTCTCTTTTCACTAAAAAATTATTTGTATTTGTAGTTGTAGTTGCTGACGATGCTTTATATATTTTTTGCAAATTTGATGAAACGTTTCTGCTTATCTTATTTTTTGAATCAGGTATTTCAACAATCAGTATGTCACTAGCAGTAAAACCAAGCCATATCCACATTCAGGTCTTAATCGCACTCTGGTGAAATTATCAGAATAACCTGCAACGATGACCTGACGTTAGAATGGCTAAAAAACAAGGTACCAACTTTAAAAACATGGGAAGAAGCAACACTTGCAGTTCTAAGGATGGACGAACTCTCCAAGTTCACCAAAGCCTCTCTCTGGATCCCAAGGGAATCGCAAGCTGACCTTGACAAGAAAGAGGTAGTGCTCAGGCGACTTGTGGGGCAAAAGCCAAACGAAGAATTCCTGCAGGTAGCAAGGCTTCAAAAAGCTCTCTCAAAAGATCCACACCCGAAGTATTGGTGCGCTAATCAAAGAGAATGGCACGATAACTGCCAACCTTGAAGATAGCATTAAACTTCACAGACGTGGCGGACTGGGCAGAGGAAGAATATAATCTATCTTTCTATGATTGGCAAACTGCCAAACACATTGTAGACGATGATAAAATTGGATGAGCAATATCCAGTTTCTCTCCATTTAAATCGCTAGGACCTAACGGTATCTGTCCAGCCCTACTTCAGTGGTATCTGGAAGAACTCACACCGCACCTGGTGGGTATTGGAATAGAACCTGATGTAGGATCTGGTAAGGCGAGAAGTTGCTTTAGGCAGGAGCCGCTCGATTAGCTCCCACTGCTTAAACTCCATCTCACCGAGATATATCTTCCATAAACCATATAAAGTTATAATAGAACACATAGAAGAACCGGAAGTGGCAGGTACCATTCATATCTACACCGACGGTTCTAAAACAAAACAAGGCTCAAGATGTGGAGTATACTCCTGATTCTTAAACCTGAACATAAAATGGACTGTGAGCAATATTGCTAGTGTAGTCATCATCATTATCATCATCATCATCATCATTATCATTGTCTTTTCTATGGTTTATTATTATAGGGTCTATTTAGTTTTCCAATGCCATATTCACTTTTCAAAATGAATTTTCCATCTTTTTACCATCATCAACGCATTTTCTCAAATATTCTCCATTTACATTTCAAACTGCATTTAAAAACAAATTTCGAACATCAGGTAATTTAAATGTTGTATTGTTTCGAGAAATATAACTTTTTAATTGTGATCAGATCAGTTCAATTAACTCTGCATAGTAAGGGGGCAATCTAAGAATTTCAATTGGTTTTTCTCGGGTCATTTCCTCTAAAATATATTTTTTCAATTTGTTTTTATGTTGCTTTGCTATTACGAGTAATTCCACTTTCAAAGATTTAGAAAGACTGATAATATTTTTAAAATGAAGTAATTTTGAAATATCTTGTCTTTTCCATCTTGTTGTAGGTAGTGACTCCTTTAATCGACTGTGATAGAATGCATTATCCAAAACAAATTGAAATGGAATTTTTTATATTGTTCTAAAATCAATTTTCAAACATAGGATCATCCATTTCTTCATGGTAGTCTTCTGTTTTCTTTGACTTGAACAGTAATAAACCATCTGGCAAAAATACATCGGTGCTTCCAATGTGGGTAAATATTAAACTATTTCCTTTTGCTATTGGATTTTTTAATCCACAAGAGACTTCGTCCATAAAGGCCAGTTTTTTTTAGTTTCGATGGAGGTATCTTGCCAAATTTTTGTTACTGTATGTCCAGCATTAATCCATGTTTCATCTAAATAAAATACCTGTTTATGCTGATTTCTTGCATCCTCTATTTAATTTGTGTAATATTTTTTACAGATTAAAACAAGATACATTTTTTTATTTCTAAATATAATTTCAAAAGAAAACAGAATGTACCATTTACTTTATTTCATCCTTTTCCCAAGTTTCAATAAAGGTCTTGTTTCTTCCTGTGGCTTTTTTGCTCCCAAATTTTAGTATTATTATTTATTTCTTGAAAATTTTAGGTTTTGCCAACATAAATCTCTATTTTATTAATTTTTGTTTACTTCTTTATTCATGTTGTTTTTTAATTTGTAAAAGTTAGATATTTTATTTTTACAATTTTGTTGTAAATAAGCACTGATGGTGGCTTAAGACCGAAAGAGGTTTGCTAAACAATTATTCAATTAAAAAAATTTGCGAGAATTACACGAAGTTTTTTATTTCTACTGTACTTCTACTTTTATTTTTTAATTATTATTTATTAAGTTATTGCCTTTGTAGATGAAACACTATAACAAAAATGAAAAGAGTGAGATTTATTTTGTAATAAAGAAATAATATTCCAGCAAAATTAATCACCTTATTCAACAAAATCAATTCGTTTCATTCTATTTAAAATATTGATTACTTGCTACGGTGGCAGAC